CCTGTGAAGCCATATCACTCTTGTGAGATTGAATCTCATCCAAGGGGTATTGAATGCACATTTCTCTGCGTCCTTGGTTGAAACTATCGTCTACTCTATACTGTTAAGTAAAATAACATTCATTATTGTGAGTTTTGCGTTTGCTTACTTCTGTTTCTGTGTCTCTGTCACAATTAATATTTAGTACTTGTTTAAAATATCTGTCGATCTGTCAATACCCCCCCCCCCCCCTCTCTCTCTCTCTCTCTCTCTCTCTCTCTCTCTCTTTCTCTCTCTCTCTCTCTCTCTCTCTTTTTTTCTCTGTAATAACTATGTTGCTCTCTACTTCATGTGCTTTTGGTGCTAATCAATAACACTGTTAAAATTGTTTTTATTTTCTTTAAACGATTTAACGTTTTCAGATTCTGGACTAACTTTGATCTACATATCAGTTTATATTTTCCTGGAAAAAAAGGTTTTAGTCATAATTTATGTAGTTCCATTGTTGAGAATCACTTGTCACAACGGGTTCTTGGCTCCTTTGTCTTGTGCTATCAAGTCTGCCAGAAAAAAGGCTTCTCTACAACAAAGGATACTGATAAGATTTTCATTACAATGACATATACCCCATAAAATGTTCCCCCTACATCAAAGTCCATCAAATCTGTACTTACTTCTCTTTGGTTAACATTCAGCCTTTGATAGAAACATTAAAGACTGCTTGACCCATTCTCATCACCGCACTGGCATCTAACGACGAGTTTGTACCTTGTCCGGATTGACATTTCAGTTAAATGGCACACAAAAACTGACCCCATGATCCGTCGATATTGTCTTCATATGACCATGACAGTTCAAAAGCCAGACAACCCAAAACACACATCAAATGTGATAGAGCCTTAGAATGATGTATATGGCACTATAAAGCCATTGGGTAATGTTGTTTGACAGTATATTGTCTGTCCGTTACGTGTAGCCCGAGGGAACCTACAATTGCTAAGAATCTAACGTCTGTTTTTTTCTGTAGAAAATCGGAGAACTTGATTACTTTTTCACACTTGCACATGCGATTGTATCAGTACAGGAGCCATGTAGAAGCAATGAGTGTCGTCTATGCCATTTTGCTCATGACTGTATCTTGTTGCATTCTCGGTCATTTATTGCAGAGAAGAAATTTGGTTTAAACCCGAGTGGAATTTGAAGAATGCTTCGATAAATTATCACGAATGAACGATAATATACCTCATTTGATTTTCATGATAAGAATGCTTATGCTCAATCTTGGAATTCAAATCTTTAAAACACCATACAAAAGATGTTATTTTGATTATCATATTCGGCACAAAGGCTGTCAACTTTTTTTCGATCGACAATGCAATATTTGAATCGCATAGATCAAACATAAAAAAATGCATGTGTTTTTATTCTTAAACATGCAAAATAAGATGCAAATTCAAGAAGCTTATTCTCCGATCAATTTTGGTTGCCTAAGCATTCCTGATTAGAAGACAGTGGAAAAAGTCCTAAATGGATGATTAGTGCGATAACAAGGTTCAAAGATCTACTAGCGTAAAAACGTAGCGAAGGAACATTGCCTGTTAATATATGAAAAAGGATTTTAAAAAATGGTTACGAAACTGTAATCATTAGATTGTTCGGATATATATATATAGTCATACCGGTTTTACTTCATGTCTCTTGGCCTTCGAATATAGTGTCCACGGATGGTAGAGATCTGACGATCAGGAAAGCAATCATAGACTTTCAACTGTGCTTTTAATATGTTTTAATATGAAGGGAGCACGGAAAAGACTAAAATAAATAACAAATTCCAATTTTGAGCGTTTCGGAGCTCAGGGTTTTCCGCAATTTTCCATCCTTTTTATTTTTCATGTTGATTCCATATATATCTAACATTTGTACATAAGTATTCTTATTATCCCAAGTTTGTAATTCTGTGTAGTATCTATTGAGCTAAAAATATTTTGAATCACTCGAGGGAAACCGCAATATAGACGTGGATAGACAATACAAAAATATAGGTACCCTATGTCCTATCTCCGGAATAGGATTTGTTTTTTTTTTTTTACATTTCTTCGAAACTGGTACATTTTACAGCTAAAGATAGAGGAGAAAGTCCCTGGAGGAGAAAGTCCGAAATCCTGCAGGATGCCCGTTTAAATCGGAAGTTAGCTTGTCTTTTCACAAGTAAATTATTCAATTTTTTTTATATCAACAGAAAATATTTGATGAGATACTTTCTGTGTACACTTATATGCAATCGAATGAGGTGGAAGACTGTCTCTTATAGATTTTGATACTTATCCGGAAAACCGCCAGCCAATGTTCTTAGCGATTGCGGGGACGTATAACTCTAGAAGATATATCCAGGTTTATGTATTTCAGAAGTTAGTATACATAACATCGTGAACAACAAGTTTTCTTTTGCCCAAATACGACTTTATGCCAAGCTGGCTATAAATAGCCTACCGCTTGTATGTTAATTTTATCTTTCCCTTTTTAATTACATACTTGGAATGATTGTTAAGAAATTGAAGAAGCATAACAAAGCTAAAACACGAAAAAGTTATTTTTGTCGACAATCTTTCTAGAATGAATACAGTTCGTTTAAGCAGAATTTTAATTTCCAGAGGTAGTAAAGCAGATGTGTAAGACCGAGTGTAACGAGGGAAATAATTGTCGTGAAAATGAATTTAATTATTTATTTAACACTGAAGACAATTTTAATCACCCTCTCATCCTTGCTTGCTTGGAAAATCGAATTACAGAACTAAGGTCTAAAGTCAAGCTAGGAACCATCGCTGGAGTGTAGGACCCCGTTTAAATTAACTTTACGCGAGCTGAAGGCTTCGGGAACCTAATGCGTGTTTATTGGTATGCATTCTACTTAATTTCTTTCTCTGGGCACCTTTAACCTTTCTATAGTCGTATTTTATAGTTATTTAATTTTAATTTGAAATTTCTACGCAATAAACAACCATTCTTATCGTTTTTCTGTTGACACTTTCTTTTACACATGACGTTGGCATCAGACATTTTTAAAGGTAAACTTAGAACAGAATATTTCGAACGCCCATCCTTCCAGGTCGGAGGTTAACGCGAAAGTCTGCATTTGCCCTTATTCTGGTGGGCATCTAGGGTATAAGGATTTGGTAAAATATCGAGTAGGAAAGGATTTTTTTTCTATATTCAACAGTTATGACCTTTCAATTCCCCATGCTGCCTTCTTCTTTTGGGTTCCAGTAGAAAGTAGTACCTAGATATATGTTCAGGACAGAGACGAATTGATGTACATTGTATTTCCTACTTTGTGCTGACCATATCTCCGGACCTTTTTGTTGTCATTATGATACGATAAAATGCCCATCAAACCCCAAGATGTCATATCATTGCAGTGAAAAGCCTAGTCTGTGAATAATGAGGTCATATCATCTTAGATTTTCCACCGATAAGAGAGACATTCAAAACGAAACCAAATATTAACACTAATGTAATATATTTCAGCTTTATTGTTTTCAGTAAACTTTTTGATATACAATGTTTATGTATAGTGGTTCGTACATTACACGTAATTTTTTAGGGATGAATGGGAAAAAATCAGCTATGTCATGAAAGCTAAAATAAATGAAATATTCTCGACAACATATTGCTATTTCGCAAAACAACTTAACGTATAATGCAGTTTTAAGATCATTTTGTACTGAAAACATTACTTTCCATTATCTCTTCAGATATAATATAACAGTGTACATGGTGTTATAGAATGTTTGGTCCGTATTTTTTATGTACTAGATGTTCAGTTCCTGCCACTTTTTGATATTTAGACATTTACCCCATGGTCAGTTTCATACATGCATCTCATTTAGTTCACTGTCATACATACAACTGTACATCTAGAATCACACAAGAAAGAACACGCATTTCGGGGATGGATATGTACCTCAACTCACAAATACAATAGAAATAATGTTATTTCCACAGACACTGAAGCTGAAAAATGTATTTTGTCAGATTTTGTCATGCATACGTAATTTGATTAAACACAGTATGATTGCTTGCTACATGTCTATAGCAGCTCTAGACACATACAACGCAGTGCACTATTGCAATTTTCTTCATTTTGGTATATTGACTATGTTTGCTAAAAAAAAAAGTAGAACGGAACACAAGCCGAAAAGCCAATTAGATAAATGAAAAGGAAAATCGCTTTTCTTGTCAATATCACATTCACGATCTTATTCAGTCGACTCCTAATAGAATATCCAATTACAGAAGTCTTTGAAAGCCTGCATCAGCATACCGCTTTCACGTCATCCGCATAAGATTATTATGTTTGTAAAATTTCCGATATTGTTAAAATCTGAAGTTCCTTCCACTGCCTCCGATGTAGTAGAAATATTGGTTCGAACGGGTCGGTAATTAATCATCACACGATTTCAATACCGTTGAATGCCCACAGGTTCTTAGAATGCTGGTCACGCAGTTCCAAGCATATCTTGAAACGATCCTTATTGAAAGCTGCAAATTGCTACTGAACTAAATGAAAATAAGACAGAAATTGGAAAAAAAAGTCAACCAAAGTACATCGCGGAGCATAGAATAATTTTGAATCACATTCTAAATAAGTTGGTGTGCAAAAGATCTGTGCCCAAAGTAAGGGAATGTTTTTTTATGAATAACGTAAACATGTATAGGATCTTGAATTAGGTTTTTTCTTTTCGGATTGGATTTTATAACACGAGTCTAGAAAGCTTTTAATGATTCGTAAGTAGTAAAACTCTGAAAATTTACATTTTAGCTATAAATGTGGAGGACAAAATCAAACAGATGCAGTTATTTTGTTGAACTCGTTTCCGTTCATGACGTGACGTCTTTTTTCCTATCATGACATCACAGTCGATTTCCGAGACACAGTTTGCGTCTAAAATTCACAATATGATGGTGATATGTTCGGCGTTCGACATTCTCTGTTTAACATGCTTTTTATATTTATCTTACAGGTGCGCTTATTGACCCAAGATCTGAGGAACTTCAAAATGAGTTCGAGATGGAGATCAAACGTATACAAGTGGGTGATCGAGGTCCCGTATACTTAGAGCCAAAATTCAGAGAACTTGATATCACCGATAGCTTTGAAGTCAGCAATGCAAGTAAGTGATGCCATGTCGCCATTTTAATGATTTTGCAAAAGACATATTAAGAGTTGGATACGGTAGTGACAATCACTGAATTATAATGCATCATACAGCTGTGTCGTTCGCTCTTCATTGATACCAAGGGCCTAACCTTGGAGGCCTACGAGAAAAGTTCAAAGTGTTCGAAAGTATACACAAAACCATGTCGGAATGATTTGAAAACCACGTAACGTCAAAGCAAGGCTTCTTTCTTAAATTCCTTTGCTTCAAGGAAAATGTTGAAAGCAGAAATGCTTGTTTTTGACATGGCATCAATTATATTTTTTTTAATGATTAACGCTGTTTATAACGTAAAGAACATTCTTTCACCTTGATACACTATTTAGTCTTCGATTAAAAAAAAGAACAAATATGTTTTAAGTCTCATATGTTTCTCGATTCGCCATCACTCACGAGAGTTTTCTGGTAGGATAAATGGTGAACGAGGCACATGCACCTTATGTCCTCAGGAGTTTGAACAGGAAGTTCCACGTTACATCACACGGGATGACGTGTATCCTCAAAAGTTGACGTTGCATTACCAGCATCCAAAACTTCCGAAGTGATCCCACGTTCTTCTTCGTAGAGTACAATGATTGTATTATCTATTTTTTCTGACCGAATAGATAACGTCACAAACTGTCCTTTGCAAAAGCTACAATAGGAAATCGTGCATTCGTTATCATAAATCAATTTGTCCACCCGGCGAATCGCCAGAAATATACGAATGTGTGAGATAGGCCGTGTCTTGCTTTAGTCGTGTGACCTGTATTGATATGGATTTTTATCCATCTTGGACGAAAATACACTTTCAACGACACAATACAATTTCTGGAAGGACATAGAAAAAATCCAATAATAATTTTTTTCATTTGAGTGAAAAAAAAGGAAGAAAAATCAGTAGTCAAACCTAATTCAAATACTTGAAAGAAGCCTAATTATTTTCAAAATTAAAAGAACCCAATATAATTATAGACTACAAGGAATTTGATAAACACATTTGCTTCAAATTATTACCGAAATATCAGCGTTTGATTCATAGCAGGGCAGGGAATCCTACATTAATTATTGTCGAGAAGTATATAATTAGAGGGAACATAATCACGTAATCTACTGCCGCGTAATGTTAATTTATTATAAAAAACGTAATGCTAAAGCATTGTATGAGCAATTTCAATCAAATACATGAAAGGACGCAAGTCAGGGTGAGTGATTTCTTTGACGGATTAATTGATCATCGCTGATTGCAGAAAATTGATTAGGTGTTACTTTTATATTTATCTTCCCGATTTCCTCTCCGTGATGATAAAGTACAAGTTCAAAGGATGATAGATGTTAGAACTATTCTAACAGGTGTATATAGGACATGGTGATGATCGGTTATGCCCACACCGCGTTAGCCAATAATATGTTAAAGAACTCATTACCGACATAGCCCATTTATATTTATGACTGAAAATAATCTTTTGATATTTTTTTCAGTCAGCTGACTCCGAAATTCGATCATCAATTAATTTCTTATGGTCTCTCTTTTATGACTCGCTGGCAATTATAATAATTTACATCCAAAGAACTCAAGTCAATGAAGGCGAAGTTTACAAAGAGAATCACGTCAAACTGAAACTAAAAAGCAAACAAACCCATTTTGAAGAATATCATATCTTATGATAAGGGCCAATACTATGTAAATGATCAAATATGAGCAATACAGAAACCATCAAATACACGTTTCATAGGTTGCACGGTGAAAAAAGGTTGACGGGTCTGTTTGAAGTTAGAGCAATCAATCATACAGTGGCTGACAGTAAAACGTTGATCGTATGCATGATAAAACCGAGGACACTCTATGGCCACAATGACTGTTTTAGGGACCGAAAGAAACAAGATAAAACAGACAGATCAACAAAATTGTTATTCCTACTCAGTATCGACAGCAAGATATGATATTTTTGAAAATTACAAGTCCAAGGCTATCTCCAGCTGTTCCTTACACAACATGTAATAAATTGTGTATAAGATGCGTTTTAACACAATTGCGTTCCAAGATACATTGTCTGTGATATGTTGGAAGTCATCACTGTCTCCTTAATACACGATATTGTCATTTTAACACAAAACTGCATCCGCTTGATAATACTTGCTCGCATGTTGCTTAAGAAAAGCACCAGCCAATATAAAGACCGGACGCTGATTTCAAGTTAGCTATTAGCTGCGATAAAGAAAAAAATAATAATAATAAAAAAAAAAAAAAAAAACGTGATATTCATGAAATCGATGAATTAATTTCCTATTAATGACACTGATATCATATTTCTTCAAAATACGTGTTTAAGAAAAAGGAGGACGATATCAATATTGACATTATTTTAGTTATGTAGGCAGTTATACAACTGGTGTTACGCCATTGTGTGGTACTATCTTGGGGAACCTCTGGTAGGTTGTTTATTATTAAACATGGTGATTATTTAAATTACAAATGGTTATAACATGTGTCAACAATTACATTTTTCATTATTGGCCTTTATTTTTTATATTACAAAAATCCATAGCGAGAGCGATGACTAAGATATTTCTTCCAAATTTAATAGATAGAGGAATAAAGGAGATTATATAACGATACATTATGACGAATGCCTGTGTTCAAAAATTATTGTTGTAATAAATTTTGATTGGGATTTTGGAAGAAATCACATACTGAGATTGTATATTTGTATATTATCTGCACATTGCCTGTAAAGCAAGCCAATTGTTCGTTTTTTGTTTTTTTGTTTTTTGTTTTTTTATATTTCTAACAGACACGAGAAATTATTTGATCTATGAGTATTCATCATATAAACCTGAATTGTATACATTTTACTTCGTGTTTCGTGATATCAGATTAACTTAGGTTGCTAAATTATGCATTGTCTATAAAATCGAAGGATTTTACAATTATTGTTTCCAAATCTTCTGACATCTTGTACGTACTTTTTGTAGTCCTTTAACCCAACAGCACGTTACCATTTCACGTGCTCGCGTGCATTACTGGGAAACACTGTCCCACAGGGACATACATGTTTCCTAGAATTAACACATTAACATATCAGCTGTCAAACGGTCGTGATGGTAAAACTGTTTTTCTGATTTTAGTAAAATCAACTAAACTAGTCTCTGATAACCTTATTTAGCCTTTGATAGAAAAGTTCATTTCATTGAGTATACGCATTAATGCGTCAACATTGATGTTTTCCAAATTAAAGTTTATCGTCAAGGGAATCTATTGAACATAGTCTTCATTAAATTGTCTAAAACGTGATAAAACTTCAATTAAGGTATATTTCTTCTGAAAGTATTGAGAGTCTTCTGTGAATTGATGCTTAATAGGATATACATAAAATGTAAATAGAAATCATAGGCATTATATGTGGAGGTAGCGGAACTGACAGTTGCCATGGTGGGATAGGAGGAGTGCTCATATCTCCTTTCATTGGAGGAATAAAGGAACCAAGAAAATTATAATTAGGTAAAAATGTATCCCCCTTTTTTCGTATTTCGTATCCTTGACATTGCCTAATTTCTGGTTACTATATCCTATATTTATCAGTTATTTAAAGACGGTCAAACTCATGCGACAAGAAAACGAAACAGAAAGTATGACAAAAATATGTAAATGACTTAAATATCCAGATGGCCGCACACTGATACATATGATACATAGAATTAAAAACCTCAGAAATATCAACCAATATGTCTTTAAAAGGACATCAAATATAAAATTAATGTATTTACGAAAATATACTTCAGTTATTACGTATCAACCAACGCATCATCTAATAAGGACACATCAGCCAAAATGTCCTAATATAAGGATAGAACAACCAATGTGTCCTAGAGCAGGGGCATGTCAAACAATATTTCCTCTAATAAGGATTGATCAACAAATATATCCTAGAGTAGGGACCCATAACTCAACACGTCCTTTAATAAAGATAGATCAACCAATCTGTTCTATAATAAGGATAGAACAACCAATGTGTCCTAGAGTAAGGACACATCAACCAAAATGTCCTAATATAAGAATAGAACAACCAACATGTCCTAGAGTAAAGACACATCAACCAAAATGTCCTATAACAAGGATATATCTACAAATATGTCCTAGATTAGGGACACATCAGCCAGCATGTCCTGTAAAAAGGACATAACAACCAACATGTCCTAGAGTAGGGACACATCAGCCAGCATGTCCTGTAAAAAGGACATAACAACCAATATGTCCTAGAGTAGGGACATGTCAAACAATATTTCCTCTAATAAGGGTAGATCAACAAATATATCCTAGAGTAGGGACACATCAGCCAGCATGTCCTGTAAAAAGAACATAACAAACAACATGTCCTAGAGTAGGGACACATCAGCCAGCATGTGTTGTAAAAAGGACATAACAACCAATATGTCCTAGAGTAGTGATGTATCAACCAATATTCCCCTAATAAGGATACATCAACCAACAAGTCCTGTAATATGGATATATCAAGCATTATGCCTTAGATTAAGCTTGTTTAAGGTTTGTCGTGTAACACACAGACATTTAGAATGAAGATGAATCTGAGATAACAAAGTCAACAGAGTAGAATTAAAACCAGTGTGTGTGTGTTAACCTTTCCACAATATAACAGATACCTAACAGATACATTCCAATCTTGGTCGAATTTGTTTTATATCACATACTTGTTGTCTAGGATTAAGTGGCTTTATCTCGTTGATATGCTCCTGACGTCTAGCAGGAACAGGATAAGGTTTGTATTGGTAGAGAGAAGTGTATACCCTCAGGAGGGCACGTCTAGGAAGGGCTAGGAAGGAAAGTCGACCCTATCGCCACAACACTGTCGATGCCTGTCCTGGAAAGTGACACCCGCTAAATGACTTGTCTGAAGAGTCTGCCACAATGTCCCTTCCGCCATGGTTGTTGCAATGCTTATGTCAACGAGATTTTG